TGAAAGAATGGTTTGAGATCACTTCACTGAGGAAAGAACATTTCTGAATTGTGTCCAGGGGAAGGGAGGAGTGGCACTGGAGAAAAGACAAGCCAAGTACTTCCTTTGAGCAGAACGACTTTATCTGTATGGGGTCTGTGACCAGCACAGTGGATCTCACCAGTTTTGCTGGTGATACCATTGCAAGTTTGTCAGCTGTGGGGTTTCTCAGGATCACAGATTCAGATTTCATATCAAATATCGAAGTGTTTGCTCACTTATTTTAAAATAAACTGCTATCTGTTGTCTTTCAATACTGCATCTCTGTAGCAGTAGAAGAGTAAGTGTGAAGTGTTTATGAAGCAATTGCTATGTTGAGGTCTGTATGTAGTACTGGCACAGGCCACAGCGTGACAATATTACATTGTGCTTAAAATTTTAATTGCCTTAACTATTCAAGGTGTCTTCCTTTGATCTGGATTACTAGGGTTTAAAAATCCCTTGTCAGACACCTACAGTTTCATTTCTGCTTTGTTTGCAAAATAAGCACCTGTGCTCATGTACATATTTCTAGTAGCTTTTTTTTTTTGCTTTTATTCCACAACTTTTTGTTTGTTTGTTTGCTTAAGAGGTTCTAGCTTTAGAAAGGCAGCTGGAGTAAAGCAAAGGCTTCAGTCAGCCACAAAGTTTTGTAGTTTGTGTAGCTTGTGCCTTAATTTTGCAGTATTTTCTGACCTAACTGGGTCTTGCATTCTGTTTTTATTGGATGAAATAAGAGGGATTCCCACGTTCATTCAACCCTTGGCTTTCTTCAAATATTTACATAAATAATTTTCAACTGCCTTTGGCTTTTATTTTAATTAATAAGTTAATTGGAACATCAAAAAGCCACCATTTCCTTTTCATAAGCAGCAGACATAGCTTTTAACCACAACATTCTTAGGAAAAACAATGCCTGTTAAATATGTTGGTTTTGCAATTAAACTAGTCAGAGGGCCTCAATTCTCTCCAGTGGTAACATTTGAAGGTTGGAAAATGTCATTTCACATTAAAATACTTAAATTTAACAGATCTGTTTCAGCCCATCTGTCTGTCAGAGAAGGTTTCTCACTCAAGTCTTCCTCTCTCTCAATTTAAAATGTCTGGAGCATCCCAATTTCAGAAACCTTCCACTTAAAGAAATCAGAATTAATGTAGCTCTGGGAGACCGACATTTAGTCTTACCAAGTTTTAAGCAGTTCACTTTTCTTTAATGGCTACAGTGCCAAATACGCATCAATGTGGGGCATTTGCCAAAATGATTCTTGCTTTTCTGTGTCTGTGTCTGCATTCCTACAGTTGCGTGTAGGGCTTTGCCTCCTTGTCCCTGGATGGTCTGTTTCTTCCTCTCTCAACAAATTTTACGCAGTGGCTTGTGCACAAGGGCTGACACAGGGATGGCTATGCAGGTGTAAGCCCTTCATTTATGTACATTATCATAGTTGAATTGAGGAAAGGGGGAATTTGCTGAAGTAACCAGGCTTCTATTGCCCCTGCAGCTTGTAACCCAGCCCGTGGCCTACTAGGCTGCTTGTTCAAAAGCTTTATCTGAACTGAATCTGTGTCAAGGTAATGTCACACAACAGTATTCAAACTTTGGGAACACTGGTTGTGTTGCTCACTTCAACCTGAGCATGCTTCATTTTAGGTGACACCAACACTGAGGACCATGTGGCATCTTGGCCATCAGATCATAGTCTCATATGAAGAGGACATGGAACTGAAGGAGCACTGTGAGCTGTGGCCCACGATCCCATACTGGTGGGGAAACAAAACGTCCACTCGTGCTCTCATCCGGTATTTAGAGCGCATGAAGCGGAGGGGCCGTCCAGGTAGGCACAGGGAGTTGCTTGGAAGAAAGGAGGGGCACTTACAGCAGTGCAAAACAAATAGGAAGTTGGGTGACTGTAACCTTCTGGGGTATAACCCGTTTGTGCGTGCTGTGTGCCTGTGGTTGCTGAGTGCTCTGCCCAGCCACGGGTGAGTGCAGTGTTCACCTGTGGTGGTGTGTCAGTGTATGTACATGCATAGACCGTATAAATCGTGGCAGCCACATCGCTTGTGTCATCCCACGCAAAGGAGGCCCTCAGCGCAGACCAGCTCTCCGGCCCTGTTGTACCCATCTCATGGATAGGACACAGCTTCCTCAGTCCAGTGCTTGCTGCTTTAGGCGGCGCAGGTGATGAGAGAAACGCATTCCGCTAGCCTTGTGAAAAGAAACCCCTACGAGGTTTCTCTGAGGGGAGACCTTGTTGCTCTCTATGACTACCTGAAAGGAGGTTGTAGCAAGGCAGGGTTCAGCCTCTTCTCCCAGGCAACAACTGACAGGACAAGAGGAAATGTCCTCAGGCCTGTGCCAGGGCAGGTTCAGGTTGGACGTTGGGAAGAATTTCTTCACTGAAAGGGTGGTTAAGCATTGGAATGGGCTGCCCACCCCGTAAGTGTTGAAGAAACAACTGGATGCGCCACTTAGTGTTGTGGTTTATTTGTCATGGTTTGATGTTTGGTCAAAGGTTGGACTCAATCTTGGAGGTCTTTTCCAACCTTATGATTCTATGATATAAGCACAGTACGTGGAGGGTGTAGATGCACCACTAAGTAGCAGCACCTAAGCGTGCTCTTGTAGTGTAATCTGAGAGAAATTGAGCTCGTAACATCTGATGTAGCTTTTGACGAATGCACAGGGTGATAAAGGGGAGAGTTGCTTCAAAAGCGAGCTCTCCAGCCAAAGAAAAATGCTCATGTGGTGCGCCCTTTGTTTCCATCCATCACGGGGGAAGGCTAAGCATTTGGAAGCAACCCTCACAGAAACAAACACAATTTACAAAGGAGAAGTAGTTAGACAAATTTAGCTAAACTGGAATGGCTAGATAACCAGGTATGGCTCAGGAACTGTTTACTACAGCATGAAGTTGCAACAAGGGGAGACAGTCTACTGAATCAGTTGTAGGAATATGAAACAATACAGAAAGAGCATGAAGTTAAGTATTTTAATGGTTCCCATTGGAACAAAATCTGAAGCTAATGCAATACTGAGCAGTTTCTGTTCTCCTTAAAAGAATATTTAATGTGTCGCTTTCTGATTTTTGTTTCAGGAAAATTCTTTGTAGCAGGGATTAACCTTACTGAAAATTTAGGGTATATTCTCCTACACCCATTTGGATCATTGAAGAAAATGACACTCCGGAGTCTTCCATGCTTGAAAATCTGGATAAAGCAGCAGTATTCAGGACCAAAAAAAGAATGTATTAACATAATTGCTGGAGACTTTATAGGAAACAATGATTTTGTCAAAGATGTGATAGAACTTAACACAAAAATTAATCCTCCATTAGACTGTCAAAGTAGAGAAGCTGGAAAAAATAGCATTTCATTCTTTGCTTCTTAGTCTGTGAAAAGCTGAAAAGGCTTTCTCTGCATTTAATGTGCTCTTCTGTAAACATCATGAATCCCATAAAGGTCTAGTTTACTTAAACCAGGGCTGCTTTAAAGGCTCAGTAAGAAAAGGTCTCTCAGCATCATCAGAGTTTCAAGACCTTTGGACCTTGCTGAAGTCTCTAGAAAAGTATGGTATAGGTGTAATTTATTTGGAAGTGTTTTGATTCTGTAGCAGCAGGCAATATTGGAAGTCCCAATAATTTAATCTTATTTTACATAGGACCAAGAAGGAGAAATATGTCAGTAGCTGCATGAATTATTTAGTGATTTTATCTTTCTTGTAAGGATATTCTGCATTACTTGCATCCCCAATTATTACTCTTTTATATCAGTGTGAAACTGACTTGTCTGTTTTCATAGTTTAAAAGGAAATTTAAAAATATTTTTGATATATCAAAGGTACTGTATTGACAATCCAATTTGACATGCTGTATACACCAATGCGTTGAGTATCAGTTGTGAACTGCCTTACCAACAGAGAAGTCACAAAATTATTTATGATTTGTAAGCAGTATGTGTACTTGCACACTTACTCATGCCAGTTCTGAAGTGATAGATACCAAAAGTAGGCCCTTAGGCAGTTTTGTCTGTGGCAAATGTTTTATTAGGTGTTGCCAAAGTATGCCTTACACTGAAAATAAACAGAGGAAACAAACTCCTTATCTAAACTCACAATGCTCTAGAAATACAGGTTCTTCACTTCTGTCATGCTCATTTAGGGTTTCACACCTGATCTTTGATTTAGCTATTTTAATAGCTCTGTAATTATTTTTCCTCTCACTAAGTAATTTTTGCTTATGTGAAAACTAAGAGGTTTATGCTGTTTGCTATTGCATATTAATTCTATTTTTCTAAATGAACTGTGTAATAACAGATGATCACGAAGGCAAGAGAATAGCAAGCATCAGAACTAAAAAACAGTCATTCTGTAAAACTGACTATGCAGCTTCACTATATACCTCACTTTTTAGATGCACTTTATATGCAAAAGCTAAGTTCAGATGTCTGACAAGATGCTAATGTCTGAAGAAATCTTAAATCAGTTGCTACTTATCGTATCAAACTCTCTCTAAACTGCTCAGAATGAGAGAGTAAGATGCAACCTCTTCATGGAATCTCTTGCAATTGCAGAATACACAGAAGTAAAAATTGAACATTACATTTATCAGGAAGACTTTCTAAATGCTTTTTTTACAGTACTTTGCATCCTGTTCTTACTCTGTGTACTTCATAATGAATAGTCATTCCTTTTTTATGTTACAGGTACTCAGAATGTTCTTCTATCTTTTGTATCCTTGTTAGTCTAATAAAACTTGATCTCTGTATAATATGGACTGAAATAGTTTTGTTCCTCCTTTCTGTGATATTGATTGCTTTATTGGTTCCCAGTAGTAATTAATAACTCAAGTAATAGATCAGTTGTGATTGGTTTCTTTTCGTTTTCATTTGTGGAAAGGTTTGCTGTACCTTAAATGTCTTCTCCAAGAACTGACACAGTAATAGGTATTTGGGATAAATTACTGCAAACAAGAAAACGGCATGGGTAAAAGGTGTTCATAGCTAACTTTATTCAATACTTTAATATACAAATCTGTGGAGTTTTTGCTTCACTGCAATAAGACATGGCAGTTATTTTATTCATTTTCATGCATCCTGCTTGAATACATATTTATATACAACATTTTGCTCACTTACTTTCATTTTCCAAAGACCATCTGAAACAACTGTAATAAATATTTTATTCTGAAAAAGGAGGTAAAAAGCTTTATTTATATGATATAAGAAACATGATACTTTTCTGAAGGTTAAGTCAGATGCCATTCCATGTGTTTGAGGTCCACAGCTCATAGCCAGCAACAGTTTTAACATAAAAAAATTTAGTATTGTCCTTGCACTTGCTGATAAAATTAAGCTCAAAGCTCTTATCGTTTCCAAACAGAAGTTCTCTGAAATATTGCCCACTTCTAAAATGTGTCAATTTCTAAAATGTCCATTTCTAAAACACAGAATCACAGAATCACAGAATCAACCAGGTTGGAAAAGACCTCTGAGATCATCATCACTCTCTACAACCACCTGAAAGGAGGTTGGAGCCAGGTGGGAGTTGGTCTCTCCTCCCAGGCAATCAGCAGTAGGACAAGAGAGGGCACAGTCTTAAGCTCTGCCAGGGGAGGTTTAGGTTAGACATTAGGAAGAAATTCTTTACAGAGTGATCAGACGTTGGAATGGGCTGCCCAGGGAGGTGGTGGAGTCACCATCCCTGCAGGTATTTAAGAAGAGACTGGATGTGGCCCTGAGTGCCATGGTATAGTTGGCAGGGTGGTGTTGGAACACCAGCAGGGGAAGAAAAATAGTCTCCTCAGCACTGGGACTAACAGGTCATTAACTTCATTTTGCATCCTCTTAACGATACCAGTTTCTTTTCTTAGAAAACGATGCAGTTTCATGACATGAAAATCTTACTGTTGGGAAAGAGGTTTTTGTATTTGCCCAAAGCAGAACTGCTGATTATCACCTTCACCCTGGCTGTGCCATCTTCAGGCATGACTTCTACTTCCTGAACTGTTGCTTCTTTATACAGCCAACTGTAAAAGTAAAAGCATATTAGCATCTTAAAGGTAACGTCATCTTTGGTTTAGGGTCAACATGTTTTATCTAGGTAATTTAACACTTTAAAAGATGAAGTGCTTTGCTTCACTTCTCCAGGGTATCTAATGGGGCTGTTTTTTTCAATAGGTCAGAAAATGCTGATAATTATATCTGTTATTCTTAAGCAGATTAAAATCAGTATGATATGATTTGTAAGGTTTAGGACATGCACAACTAAGTGTTTCATATTCCTCCAAATCCTTCATACAATTCAAAATTATTTACCTTAGCTGCGGTCCCTCTAAGTTAACGTTAATTGTCAGAATCTTCTTCCCTGTTGCTGTCAGTATTTTCTTCTCTATTTCTTGTTTCAGTTCTTCTAAACCATGCCCATGTAGAGCAGAAATAGCTAAAGTATTCTCTTCAGTGGGTTTATACCTGAAAGAAAATAATTGCTAGGACATTTGTTCATGAAGTTTAGATTGTGAAAATATTCCAAACTCAATTTTAACCGAGTTACTTTATACTGGCACCTTCAACAGAGGCCACTTCTTTTATGACTCGAGTGATTTCTTTGGTAATTAAAAGATAATGAGTTCTTTTTAAGACCATAGTTACATATGTAAAAGATTGAGAAACACTATTAAATGTATTCTCGAGTGTGGGAGCTCTTCTAGACTATGAATTAAAAAGTTTCCAGAACGTAAGAAATGTTTAAGTACACTTAGCATCTCCTGCTTACCTTTCTATCAAGTCCACTTTGTTATGAACTTCTACTATTGAGTCCAGTAAACGGCTGGGAAGATTAAGATTCTTCAGAACTGACAGAACAGTTGCTTTCTGCAGGACGGTTTCTGGATGAGTAATATCCCTCACGTGAACTATCAGATCCTAGCAAGGATCAATATAAAACACCAGTTACCAGGTTGTAGAGATTTTACACCATTTTTGTATTGCTTATTCATATAAGATACTTCCCTATCCACTAGATAATACACTGTCAGGTTAGCAATGTAAAATTAACTACTAAAACAGTATTAAACCAATTCTGTTTCTTAGACCATGATGGAAGAAAATCCGTAGCAGCTTAGTATTCCACTTCACATTGAGTACAAATTGCCTTCAACAAACCTGAAACAAACCCTGTCAATCAAGCTAGTTACAGTTACAATTCATATTTCAAATAGTAGCTGATCCATTTTTTTCAAAGACAAGGCTCTGTAACAACAAGGCTTCACAAACACCAGAGGAAAAAAGACTGAACCCTAAAAAGCACTTTTAGAAGAGTAATAGCTGAAAAACTGTTTCAAAAATAGAGGGAAAAACCCCCACATAACTTGTAATTCTATTTTTACATTCAAAATGTAGAAGATTATCCTTATGCTTAGCTCTCAGGATACTACTACTGGTGCTTCAACTAAAAAGCTTTATACAAAAGTTATCAGTTTCAAGTCCGTACACAATCACGTTTGCCATGATAAAAACCAAGCAACCAAATTCAATATTTGCGTTCAAAATCTTTCATCATCTTTGCTCAAGACACTGCTTTAAACTTTTGAAAATTAATATGAAATAAATTTCTTGCCTTTCATTTAACACTTCAGGGAAAGACAAACAGGACAGTTTCAGCCAGGTTTTGAAAGCCCTGCTATTACATGGTGAAGTCTAATCCTCAGAAGCATTCTAGCATCTGGTGACCACTGAATTTAATTACCTTTGATGATACAGGATCTTTGTTTAAATGTCTGTGTGTATGTAAGAAGCTTTACAATTTGCTATAACGCAGGAAAATAATGAGAAAATATTTGGAAAAGTACATTTATGTTAATTACATGCTGCCTGCATCACATTACAATCACCCACTTTTAGTCCTATAGGAAACCTTAAGTTAAACCCAGCAGCTTTATTTAATTTTTAACTCCCAAGAAAGCTAGTCTCAACTCACAGGTGCACTGTTAAGATATTTAATCAACAAAATCTGATTTATCTGCTTTACATATCATGGAGAAGGGCACATATATTCCAAATAAGCCCTTTCCAAAATCTCTTCATATCTGTATGTTCTGCATAATTTCCAGTATCAGAAAATTGGTTTACTGTAAGATATATGCCTCATTATCTTAGGAAACTATTATAGTCAGCCAGATGCTTCACTAAGAACAGCATATCAATTAACTTCCCCTTTTTTGAAGGGGTGAGGATTATCTAATAGGAAATTAATTTGATTTCTCAATTTTTACAATCAACTACTTACTGAGTAAGCCACTTCTTCTAATGTAGCTGAAAAGGACTCAACCAGATTATGGGGAAGATCAGTCAGAAACCCAATGGTGTCAACATAAATAACTGCCATATGTGAGGGCAGATAGCCACCATGGGCTGTAATATCGAGAGTGGCAAACAGCTGATCCCTGGGTTGAAGTCCTGCTTCCCCAGTCAAGGCTTTGATCAAAGTAGTTTTTCCTAGTTAAATAAAAAAAGGACAAGATTTTGATGGCTTGTTTCAAGTAAAAATCTCATTTGCAAGGCTCAGGTGAATTGTATGATGTAACATATTTTCATATCTACTTTAGTAATTTTAATGTAGCTCGTGATCAGTTATCTATATGATGTTAGGAAATCCAAAGACAGTCTTGTAACTTGGAGTTGGGTTTAAGGTGAACGTATGGCAGCTGTGCTGTGAAATCACAAGATGATCAAAGACTGATTTGATCTGTAAAGTGACCTACCCACATCTTTGTGCAAGGTAAGTTTGTTTTTATAAAGTTGTCGAATAAGAAAATGAAATGGTCTTAAGATAATGTAACCGGAAAAAAAGTGTCTAGTCCAAAGTCTATTTATGCCTTGTGTAAGAATTCAATTTAAAAAAAAAACAACAAAACCAAAACGAACAAAAAAACCCCCATCAAAACCACTTTAGCTTTATTTATATACTCTTAGGAACACAGAACACTACACATAATCCATGAAAAACTACAGCGCTTCTTAAGCACATTTCTTAGATCAACTGCCAACTCTTCTCAATTTTCTTCCTATGCCTCAAGCCTTCACGGTGATCTAAACACCCATGTAGTTTTCTCTTTTTACCCATTCTGATCAAGTAGTAGAGTCTCATATAAAGGGACACTAACACTACAGTCTTCAGCACAATATATAAAATCTTTCTGGCACAATAAGTGCTAGGCATTTCTCCAAAACATGTCTCCAAGACTGAAAAAAACAAGCAGCTTAATTTGCTTTCCTAACTGTAACCTAACTGACATAAATTCATTACACATTTTAAAAACTAATTAAAATGTGAAGCCTATTCACACAGACATCAAATTCTGGCTAGAGTTGCTAATTAAAAATTAGACAGTGTAAGCTCTTTCATGTTACAGTTTCAAGAGGTTTTGCTTACCACAGTTAGTATAGCCCATGACTGAGATCACTGGAAACTCGCGTTTTCTGCGCTGAGTTCTAAGTAAAGACCTTTTTCTTCTTAGTTTCTCCAGGGCATTCCTAATTTTAAGTTCTCTTTCTTTCAAGATACGATTCTGTGTCTCCAGAAATGTTTCGCCTGAAAAATACAGGTGAATAATTGGCCGAATAGTTTACAAGAGAAAAAGAAGTAAACAAAGTGTTGTGCATTTGGAAAGCAAGTGAGTTAGCAGTAGGGAATATGAAGTTAGAAATAAGCAACTAAAGCTCTGTATTCTTGCCTAAGAATCAGAGTAAGTAAATTAAAACATATGCTAAGTACTTCAGAATATCCATGTACACTTATGAGAAACCCCTGTGGCAGGAAATAGTCTGTCCTTGGACAGTTACTGAAAGAGTACTGACCAAAACTTTATTATTTAACTTACTTTGTACATTTCCCTAATTAGATGCAGAACATGCAGAACACAGTTTTTCTTCCTGACCTCCTCCAAAGAAAGTAAGATGCAACTAAATTTGTTTAAAGGATATGGAAGAAAAAAATCCTCTAATTCATGAGAATACTTAGACTTTACCTGAGCCCATGATATATCTTGATCCACCTCTCTGCTGATCTCGCTGAGACACCTCATTTTTCAGATTTGACCTGGCAGCAGAGTAACAATTAACTAGAATCAATTTTCTTTAATTGAGCTATCCTAAAATGCCTAAAAAAATGTGAAGCAGTAGTGATATTCTGATAGTACAAATAAAAACAGCAAATGACTGAGCTGTAAATAAAATCTCCTCATGGCAGAAGCCTGGCAAAAAAAAAATCCAGATTTTCCTGGCTCAACTGTGATTTGGTGAAGCATGCAACTCTCTCAGCAAATTGTAATTGCTATTCTGAAATTTCAGAGAGTCAAAGATACCTCTGATGCATCCCCACAACTCTCACCAACTGCCATGTACACATTTCTATGCCACGTAATGCAGAACTGTGGAAAATTCAGACACAAATGAATGCCTTTAATCTTCCTTGTTTATAGCTTTCCTTATTAAACCCATCAATATTATATATTGGATACACATATCCATTTCCTACATATTCCTGCAATACATCTTCCACTTTAGGAAGAACTGGAACCTTTTCATGATAAATACATTTTTTAAGACTATCTATTGAACACTTTCTGGTTTTGCCTGTCACCTTAAAACAATGACATTATAGCAAACACTTCTATTTTTTAATCCATATATGAAAGCACTATAACAGCAAATTTTCTTTACAGTACTGTAAAGAAAGTATCGCTATTTTTGTTACTGTAAAGAAATAGTCACTAAAATGTGTAAATATCAGTATGTGATTTGCACAGCTCAAGGTACCTGAGAAGTGGAATTTCGGCCAAAGCTATCTGCAGTTTTGCTTCTTTAGTCCGGGCATTACAACGAAAAATGTGAAGTACAATGGTGTATCTGTCAAAGACTTTCACGCCCCAGGCACCTTCTAGTTCTTTCTTTAGCCATGTAAGACAAAATAACTGAGATGTCTTCTGTCCCTCGCAGTATCACTAGATCATTTCCTACACAGCACTACACTTACAGTTAGCTGATGGACACTTGAACTCAGAGGATCTCAGGATTCCATTTCAATGGACAGGCAAAGATTATGAGCATGCAAAGGCAAAATTTCGTTGACCACGAAGAAAGGAGTTAAGAAGAGAGTTTAGAAAGTAGAACTTTATGTTTAGGCCCATCAAATTCAGCGAGAATCCTTCCATTGCCTTTAATGGATTCTGGCAACAACTCTTCCAGCATTATCTCATAATCAATCTCAGCGATTAAGTCCTTGTAAAAAATAATTATGAAATGCTGGAATGGGAAAGGATAGGGATAACATAGGAAAATAAGAAGAAAAAGATTACTAAAACTTAAAAAAAATAGAGAGGAAGGCAGGAAAAATATGTAATAATAAGATTTTCACAAAAGACTTAAAACCCCCAACTAATCAAAATCCCTCACCCTTGATCTAATTCAGCACTTAAAAGTATGCAGTAGTTCCCCTATGCCATCTCTAAAATTCAGAATGCTCGTGTATCCATATATATATATATATATTTTCAAACACTTTCACAAATCAAGTCTGTTTAATTGCTCTAAAGATCTAGACTTGTGAAAAGAAAAAAAAAGAGTACTAAAGAGTACTAAAGAGAACTAAAAGAACTCTGAGAATAAAAACTAGGAAATTGAAGTGAAAAAAATTCAACTTCCCTTTCATCAACAAATGAAGTGCTTGAGATAACCATCTGTTAGAGATATTTACCATCTCTTCATTTTATAATCAGGAAAAGCATTCAAAACTACCAGCAAAGCATTAAGGTTTGCTTGCAGAGTTTGCAAGCATTTTGCACCCTGCATGATGCTATACATATAAAAACCCAAAACAGTTTTTATTTCAGTTTGTCTTAAGCATTTCAAAGAGTATCTACAGTTCATGCATCCATAGTTTTACTGCCAGTGTTAAAAAAAGAAGTATGCTCCACCCCTCAACATTTCTTTTTAAGGGTTAGGAATGAAAGTTTAAATATTTGAAACATTAAAATGTAATCTTGTTCTGAATTTACACCTCATATTCAAATTACAATTGAGCATCCACTGAACTAGAAGAAAATTAAGACATTATCCAGTACAGGTACAGACACTTGAGCATACAGCTATTCCAAAATGTTGTTCTTCATAAAACCACTGTGTTGTGAACAAGACCTTGAGTAACTTTTCCAACATTTTAACTAGGGCAGTGGCAAATGTGGAAGCTGAGTTTGTAACAAATGATACTAGGCTGCTGGAAAATTCCATGCACAAGAGCTGGCAACAGATATATCAACTGGACAAATGCAATGGGCATTAAGTTTCCTTTCAACAAAACTCAGTCCTGTGCCTTCATATATTACCACTTGCAAATTCAGAGTCATAACTGACCACTTCTCATAACATCAATAGCTTCCCAACAATACCAATGTGAAGAATATTATTTGATATCACATTCAGTTACCTTTGTCAGTGAAGATATTCTTTCCACATTCAAGAAGACAGCTGTCAGGTTTGGCAATTTTTTAATCTTTTCTGAAAGATAACCATTGCAAAATATAGAGCTAAATGTAAATTCTCTTTTTAAAATTCCCAGACCATAAACCATTTTGCACTGAGCAGAATGTTCATCAAACACCAAATGGCACCATGTTCTTTGTTCACGGAACAGTTGCAATTGCACTAATTTAGTACTGTGCCAAGAACAGTTGCCAGTTTCACTTACGTCCATCACATAAACTTACTAAGCTGGCTCACATATTTGCTGTGAGCACAAGTTATGTCTATTCTGTATTGCTTTTGTAACCTTAAAAAATTATTTGAAGTTTGTCTGCAAACATGCATGATGGATAAACAAAATTCTCCCTCTATTCAGCTTTCACACCTATCCTTAAACAGCTTAGCTGCAAAAGTCTTGCATTCAGAATGATTCAGTGCTGAAAGATCTCAGTCCTTACCTGTCAAAACCTGAAAGTTTCCTTTGCCAAAAACAAACTTCTTGTCAGGATTTTTTGTAGGAATAATTATTTTATCTAATACCGTCCAATTCTGAAGAGTATCTACAAGAGCGACGGCCTCAGCAATCTGCAATTCAGCTTCAGGAACATAACAACAATAAAAAAGAAGAAATAAAGATTACAATGTACCATCATAACTCTGCTCAGCTCTCCAATAGCTACAGTATATGCATGAACATGGAAAGACTACACTACACCGAAATCCTACTTGGGCATTTATTTTATCCTCTAGCACAAGGAGCAAAATGTCTTACCTCTAATCAGAGTAATTGAATAGTTTGAAGCAATTTTATCACACAAAGCATCTTTTTGCCAGTAGAAATTATTACTGTGGTTGTTGATTTAGAAGAATTTTTTAATTGTATTGACAGAAATTACCAAGCTTTTAGGCTCAACAAGTGAAAAGAATAACTAGCTGGAAAATCGGATATTTCAGATGAGCACAAAACCATGTGATTAACACCTTGGTGTTTTGAGGCAATATTTTAAGAAATACTAATATGGCATATCCTGCTGCTTACTTCACAGCCACTTATTTGTAAAGGACCTACACTGGTTTACGACTTGCTAGAACCAGCAAATTCCAATTCTGTATTCTCTGGGGCATCACTTATTTTTTGAGTATTTTGTAAAACTGACTGAAAAACACTACATGGGCACATCAGATCAGTAGATTCAGTTTTGATTTGCCAAAATTTTCTTTTTCTCATAACAGATTTATCAAGTCTCTCTAGATAGCAAAATGTAATTTATATACTAAATAGGTTACCTTGGTCCAAAAGGTAATATATTTTTAAAGATAACCATGCTCCGCTTTCTCCTCATATTGTTAGTATTTTTGTAAAACGCAAATATTTCCTGTTCTATCTTTGGTTTTCAACAATGATTTTTCAGACTTCAGGCTCTTCATCTGGAGGGCCTCAATAAATGGAAAGGGATCACTGCTATTCTTCTGTATGTTTGGACAGAAAGGTGCCTTCATATTTTACTTATTTTTCAGTTGTAAAATAGGAGCGCTTCCGTAAATTCTGAAAAGGTTATAAACTTTATTTGCAATGTGACAATTTGTTATAATTAGCAGCATGAATAAAATTAAATGACATTTCGGTTCATCACATAATAAATTTGAATACAAGAATAGATATCATATATAAATTGTCTATTGCCATCCAGAGGGGCCTGGACAAGCTCTAGGAGCTGGCCTATGTGAATCTCATGAGGTTTAACAAGACCAAGTGCAAGATGCTGCACTTGGGTCAGGACAACCCCTGGTATCAATACAGGCTGGGGGATGAACAGATCAAGAGCAGCCCTGCTGAGAAGGACTTGGGGGTGCTGATAAATGAGAGGCTCCTCATGACCTGGCAGTGTGTGCCTGCAGGCCAGAAAGCCAATCCGTGTCCTGGGTTGCATCAAAAGCAGCATGACCAGCAGGTAAAGGGAGGTGATTCTGCCCCTCTACTCTGCTCTGCTGAGACCCCACCTGCAGCACTGCGCCCAGCTCTGGAGTTCCCTGCACAGGACAGACATGGACCTGTTAATGCAGGCTGAGGGGAACGGCCACAAAGATGATCAGACAGATGGAACTTCTCCTATGTTGCTGACAGAAGTGGTAGAAGGCCCCATTCCTGGAGACATTCAAGGCAAGGTTGGATGGGGCTCTGAGCAACCTGGTCTAGTGGCAGATGTCCCTGCTTACTGCAGGGGGTCACACTAGATGACCTTTAAAGGTTCCCTCCAACCCAAATTATTCTATGATTTTGTACCTAAAAAGCTAACTTAAAAGTTGCTTAATACTTTCTACTGCAACTTTATAATTAGAGAAGAGTTTGAAGAGTAGAATCAAACACATCACACCTCTTAATTGTGCAAGATCAGAGCACATGTATTAGCTAGCTACAAGGATTTCTGAGTGAAATCTAGTAGCATTCCTAAATAAGGTCCTTACAGAGGAATTATTGGTGACTGCATCACTAAGTATCTGCATAAAACCACTGAAGTCCCTGAGAGGACTTATACAAGACTTCATCTTCACTGCACTCTCTTCTCTGGACAGTAGAGCATTCCTGCTCTTCAGTCACCTGCTGGGCAAGCTTAAGGCCAAGGGTCTCCTGCCCAAATGGCCAGGCAGCACGGTTCAGGGCTGAAGGTTATTAACATTCCGCTAATGAGGGGGACACCCAACTGTTTCCCTAAGGAACCTGCGCACTCCTGCGCTGAGGTGTTTTGCCGTCCAAAATGCAAACTTAGTATGATTTACAAGTCAAAGCACAGATCTGCCAACGCTCATTGACAGCTCCTTGTCTTTTTAAAAGTTGTCAAAGAAGGAAAGAACGACCTAGATCTTTTACCCGAGCTTGCATTTTGCAAACAGCATTTCGCAGTTTCTCTGCTGTAACAGCGTGTCCACTTCACACTGTGGCACTAATCACGGAATCAATTAGGTTGGAAAAGATCTCTGAGAACATCGAGTCCAACCGAACACCACCACGGCAACTGCACCAAGGCACCAAGTGCCGCATCCACTCATTCCTTAAACACCTCCAGGGGCGGTGACTCCACCACCTCCCAGGGTAGTGCATTCCCAATCCCCTGGCTGTATTCCTGCGCACCGCAGCGCTCCGAGAGCCCGCCCGCCCCCCGCAGCCCCGCACCCGTGGTGAGCGGCGACTTCCTCGGGCCCCACTTGACCGCGGGGTGCACGATGAAAACGCGCTGCGCGCCGGGCTCCAGGGCCAGCGGAGAGGGGCCCAGCAGCTCCTCCAGCTCCGCCTCATCCTCCTCCTCCTCTTCTTCCTCCTCCTCGTCCTCCTCCTCCTCCTCTTCTTCTTCTCCTCCTCCATGCCCGCCGGTCCCCGCCGCCCCCTTGCGCCGCCCCCCGCCGCCCGTGCCCGGCGGGCGCGGAGCCCCGAGCCGAGCGGCGGCGCTGAGCGGGCGGGCGGGCAGCGGCCGGCATTGCCAGCGGGCAGCGCCCAGAGCCGCCACCGCCGCCCGCCGGCAGCGCAGCAGCAGCGACCGCGAAAGCATCCCGGGCCCCATCAGCTCCTCCGGGCAGGGCGGGGAGGGACCGTCCCCGGCCGCGTCTTTCCGGCCGCCGCGGAAGCGCCGCCCGCCCGTGTGACGGCGCTCCCGCCCCCGCCGGGCCCAGGCTCGGCCGTGATTGACGCGGTGACCGCGCGGGGCCCGGGCCCGCCGCGCCGGGGGAGCGCCCCGGAGGGACGAGAGCGGCGTCGGTGGGTTCAGTTTGTTTCTCTGTTTCATACTCCTCTGCGGCTGGGGGGAGGGAGGGGCTCTCCGCCTCGGTTTGCCTGGAATTAGCTCCCTTTGTTTTCCTTTCATGACAGTTTTCGGCTGCTGTTTCGCCCGCGAGAGCCGAAGGGATAAGTTTTTAAGGCTCCCGATCTCGGTGAAGTTCCTTCAGAAGGTCGTGTCAACTTTGCTGTCTGTGCTGCTGAAAGAATGTAGCGGAAATGATAGCCGAGCCCAACGCAGCCAGCAGCCTTCCCAGCCAAAAGTAAGACCTGGCGCAGGTTGCCTGTAAAATTTATTTGGTAAATTAGGGTGCTGCCCCGTGGGTTTGTGCCTTGCTGATACCGCGGCAATCACAGTGTGTCATTTTGGGTGGGAGGGGGAAAAAAAGGGATTTGCTGTGCCCTATGTCTTGTTACTAATGTTTTCATTTTATTCCCTTTTATGTATTGTTTAGCATCCTCTTAGTGTAGTGCTTTATGCTGTTTGAAAGGGATCTGGGCCTTATAAGCTTTTCTGTGCCTTATTCACTGCAATGCAAATGAACCTACTTTGAAAAAAAGGAAAAAGGCAGATTCATGGTCAGTGCATGTGATTTCTTCAGTGGTGAATTTGGGGATGCTGAGGGGGAAGAGTACTAAGTAATCTGTAGGCTCCCTGTTGGGACTGACGGGGGGGCATAGCTGTTTTTGTAGGGGTCCAGTCTTCTCCCTCTTATAATGTGTTTTTCAGTTATCACTTGAGATGATCTAAAGTATTCATACTTAGAGAATGATAATTAGAAGTTCTGCTAGAGCAGATATAAATAAATAAATGGTGAAGTTAAAACATTTGGGCATATCTTGTTTGATTTCAAAGAGTGAAGTTTCTTAGATGTCCAGTGTTGCGTGCTTTGAACTCACTGCAGCCCAGTCTTTGCCGACCCTGTCACCTGAGCCAGTTTGCTCTAATGAGAGCTGAGGGAGTTGCAGTCCATGATGACAGTTAATAAAGCTTCCCATATGGCTTTTCAAGTATGTTTCATCTGAAACCAGCCTTTTAGCTTCAGAAGGGTCATGAAGGCACCTGGTAGTTGTTTAGTGGAGCTTCTTATGTTGCTTCTTAAAGTTGAAACACTTGTGTTGAAATTTATAATTTAAAAAATCTACGTGTAGGATTCTTTCAGTAACGTAGATTGTTTCTTTTTACACAGCTAAAGGAATAATGTTATCTTTTAGGTAAACAGGTAGCTTTCTTTTTAAGTGTTAGTCACCAAATGTTCCAAAACTGAATTCAGAAGTTATCACAGTAGTATTGTGTTTGACGACTAGACGTAGGACTTGACTTCCTTCCTGCTTCAGGTGTTTTATCTTATCAGTAATACTTCAAGTGCTAGTGAAAGAACCATAGTGTGGCAGGAATGCAAGGTAAAAATGAGTCTCTGAGCCTTAAGTAACCAGGCATAAAGGTGAAAATTATAGGAATGAAAAAATAGGAATGAAATTTTCCTTTTGCTTTCTTACTGATTGCTGATGGAAGCAAACTAAATGGCTCAGAGCTGTTTCTTCCAGTGCTTGAGGCAGTGAATTTATGTATGCAAAAATACTCAGAAAGGTGTAGAATAACAGGGGGAGGAAATAAAAACTCAACTAGTTCAAAATTTGTTAAACCTGCTGTTGCACTCCTGTAGTTGAAAAGATGTTAGATGGAGTTGTGGACAGGGATTGCTGCAGATCCCCATGTCCTCCTCAACTAGGTACAGTTGCTCCTGTTTTGCTGAAGAGGATAAGATGATGTCATAATTCTTTTAACAGTTTCTTCAAGAGAAATGCAGTTGTGCAAATAAAAACTCCATTTAAATATCTCATTTGATTGCTAAGTGCTTTTATGGGGTTCAGTTTCTTGGTGCTGTGTAGGTTGTCTGTTGTACTTCTTCCTGGGGCATTGCTGTGTTCATTGCTGTTACTCTAACTGGTTTCATCCCAGATATGTTGTTTTATTTGGCACTGTGAGCCCAACATGAGGAAGCTATAGATCAGCGGTCTTCTTGCTCCTGCAGGTTTTGCTGAGCTTTGGTAACACGCTGTTCCGTATGCCAGGCATTCCCTTGCTTTGTTGAGCCCCTTTTGCTACAAGTACATTTTGTCTCGCATAAGGTACAAAGTAGTAGCACAGGGCCAGTAGACACTGTCTGCAGTGCCATCCTTCAGGATGTTCTTGGGAAAGAGATGAATGAGTTAAAACTTCAAAGAAGTATGTTCTAGACAGAAGTACTAAAACCAGGATGTGATCAGACAAGTTCTTGATGGAACTGTCCTGCAGCAGTTCTGATTTTTTAATTAGTTAAATGTTTTAAATCAACCTGAACTCAATCATAGTTGCTATAATCAAATGCAGCGCATTTATTTTCATTATGGGATGGAGTAAGTTGCTAAAGAGTACTTGTAAACAATTCAGGAAAACTTTTTGAGAGCGTGTTAAGTGTTATGTTGAGGTGTAATGGAGAAACGGGTAACTCACGTTGGATTGCATCTGAGTTGTATGTTTAGTTAAACAGTGCAAGTGAGAACTTGTTAGTCCAGCCCCGTAATGTTGCATTCTGCTTTGAAATCAAGAGTGAAGGGATTTAATCACAAAGGAGAACCATCTACTTGACGAACACGTTTGGATTCTTTTTGGTTTTGTGTTCCATAGAAGAATCTGGGAAGAGCAAACTGGCATCAGAAAAGCAATACATATTGCTATCTCTTGCTGCTTGTTCTTTTCAGGTAGGAAGTCTCTGGTGGTACTTGAGATACTTAATTTCTGTGGCTCACAATTATAAATCAAAGAAGATATTTGAAAACTTTTGCAAATGATTGCCTATAGCATGCTGACTCAGCTGTGACCTGTAGTTCATTCTACTTTACGCTTGCAAAAGTCCAGGCTAGAAGTCCTGATGGAAGAATTAGCTCATCCTGAATTATTTTCTTTGCTTCCATTTGTCAAACATTGTGGCATGTTTTAAACTTTTCTATGACAAGTAGTTAATTGAATTTAACTTTCATGGGACTTTTCTCTGTAGGGAAGGTAAGCAGTTACATAACTGTATTTAGAAATTTTACGCATTTTTATGTAATTTTATATTTATATAGAATTTTTATAGGAGCCTTTGGAAGCATAATTCTGCATTGCTTCTTGATTTCAACAGATTAAAAAAGTAGACAGAGACGTTTTTAAATAAAAACTTCTGTCTGCTGTCACCGACAAAATAACATCAGGATAACATGGTCCTGCAGTTGATGCTATTCAGCCTCAGAATTTGCTTTACAAAGCAGTCTTGGGAAGAAGAACAACAAGAATGCTTATCTGGCATTGATAAACCTTGCTGGAGTTGAACTGGCTCAGCATCCATATCACAGTTAATTCTCCATTTGGGTTAGCCAACACTGGATACTGGAGGGCTGACTGTGTTTGACAGTTTAATACACTGTTTTTTGATTTGTAAAGTGGTCACTTGTGTTAGCACACTCGCTTGTTGCAGCAATATCATGAAAATAAAAGTAACTGTACAGTCTCATATTTACTTTCTTTTTGTACCTTCTTATAGTACAAGTCAACTGGCTTCATGTCCTGGCCACTGTAGTTTAAAAGGAGGCCATAGAAGGAGGCCATAGCAGTCAGCTTCCAGCACTGGACCTGCTGCACAAGTGGGATCCAGCTCGTCTGCTCAAATGTGACCTTTGGCAAAGCACATTGTTAGAATTGGGAATGACGAAAAGTGGCATGATTTCATTGCAGATAAATGTATGGCTTCAGATCTCCCAGAAGGTGCATCTTTCTTTATCAAATTATTCCTCCATCATATTAGCAATGACCTGCAAATGAAATTTCTTATGTGTCTTTTTTCTTCAGCATGTTTTATACACAAAATAAACGAGATTCCTTCTCTCATTTTAAATTGTATACCTGTCAAATATGACCGCCTTGTTTTGTTTAGAGCACTCGCAGAATGAATGCATTCTTGTGTTATTGGTTCATGGTGCAAAGCTCTTAAGTCAACAAAGGCTGCACTAAGTCAACATCAGCTTTCTGTTTCATTTACTTACTTTCTACTTTCTTTGATAGTTTTCCTAGTTTTCTAATTTTCCGTATATCTTACAGGAAAGCCAATAGTGTGAAAAAGGCCCAAATTTCTGTTGTACTTTTAAAGTTTGCTGTTTGTTTTTTAGTAACAAAATGCCATAACTTCCAAACAAGTAATTAAAAATACTAAAATACATATATATGCTTTCATTTTCCTCTGTGTAGTTCTGTGTTCTTGTTGCTAACCCCTTCAATGTGTTTGTTACACTTTAGAGTGAATGCTGTCCATGATGAGACTGTGCCTGAGTCTGCTGTGCAGAATGGCAACTGTGTGAGAAATGGCAACCTGAAAACACCAGTAAGTCAGTTTTAAAACTTTAAAAAAAGATTTAATTCTTTTAAATTGCAGAATTTATTTTCTGTCTCATTCAATTGTTACAAAAATGAGTATTATATAAAGCGATCTCAGTGCATCTAAAATCTAGTTACTGGATATAGCTTGACCCTCAAATTCCATTGGCTGGCATCATAGCCTCAGTTCTGGCTTTCAATTTGTTTCAGCATGTGATTTTCCTTCCCTGGGCTTGGTGTGCAGTTGATGTTGATTTGCAGGTTGTGAGTTCAAGCTGAGAATGAAAAGATCTAGAGGAGTTTATGTGCTTGCTGTCTGCTCTTCAGAAATTACAGCTGACACCTAAAACTGCCTTCTGGGTAGTACACAACTGTACGGAAGCTTCTTTCCTGTTATACCTTCCTATGCT